CAAAACCCTCGCCCAAATCCCTCGCCCTCGTCCGCGCCCTCGATACAACAAAATGTGCTCCCATGATAAAACATGTGCTACTCTCCAGCTCTAATGACCTTAGCAGTTGACGCGCCGAGAATCAATAACATAGGCACACACACATAAACACATAGGGAAAATGCTGTCAGTCCCAAAGTCTGGACAAATGTTTCTCTAGTATGTCGATGCGCTGAATTCGACTCTGAAATCAGTAATAGCCCACCACTTCCGAATTTTTAATACGCGAAAACCGATTTATGTTTTAGCCGTTTTATTTTATTTTTTGTTTTAGTTTGTTTTCGGGAATTATTGTCAGACCCAAAACTTGACATATGTTTCTCTATGTATGTCGACGCACTGAATCCGAAGCTGAAGCCATAATTGCGCTACCATCTTGCACTTTTAAAATCGCAAAAAACACCGTGAAATTATAGACTGTAAATTATAGACTTTTTTTCATTCTTTTTTTGCGATAAAAATGGAGGTTAGTGGCGCAATTCTGGCTTCAGATTCGGACTCAGTGAGTTGACATGCATAAAGAAACATGTGTTAAGACAACTTTCTTTTGTGTGTGTGTGCCTGTGTAATCATTCAATCAATCAAACAATCAATCAATCAAACAATCAATCGATCAAACAATCAATCGATCAAACAAACAATCGATCAAACAATCAAGCAAGCAAGCAATGCAAATCCGTCCCCTACATGTGATTGCCTCGCGTCGCAGGCAGTGGAAGGCCGTGCGCACGGGCGGTCCGTGAGCCTCCGGCAGGCGGACGCCAACGCCTCCGCCAGCGTCAGCGCCAACGCCACGACCAACTCCAGCTCCTCGCCCGCCATCGACATTTCCTCTGCCGTCGCCGACAACTGGGTGAGTACTAGGCGTGCACACACCCACGGCGAGTCTTCGCTGGACAACTGCCATTTTTTCTTTGTCGCGCTTACTCACGTAAGAAGAGAAAATTATAGAATTGTGCGCCGGAAAAAGCGGCGATTTTTTGATAGAAAAGCTTTAATTGCCAGACCCTGATAGTGAAAAAGAGGAGAAATTCTGCTGCTACATACAGGCTATCCTGGGAGAAACGTCGAAACTTCGAAAATAAGGTCTTAAGACAATTAAAAGCATTTTTTTAAGTTTAATTTATTTTAGATCGCTGTAAAACTGCGTGGTCATAAAAAATCCAAATCTCATTTACCTTACGTTATAATAAAATTTACATTTTATCTAATAAACACATTGGATATTCTGTATGGCAGTGACGCAATAAGCACTCAAAAGTTGAAAAAAAATACTTTCTAGGCAAAAATTTGCATTTTAGATGTAACCATTACAGAAATATGCAAACTGTTTATTATTTACAAAAGAAATTAATATATTTGTTCATAAAGAATAATTAACACAGCAATAAAAAAGCACCCACCTTACTTAATTCGACTGCCTTTTTATTTCTGTGATAATTTTTCTTCCTAGATAGAATAAGAAACACCTAAAAGAATGGCGCCGGCCTCGTTTACGTTGAACACAAAATTTCCAATGGCTGCAAATTTAGAAATAATGCTAGAAAATATGTGTTGTTGAAGTTCCATAAATACTTATTTTCTGAAGAAATGAAGCAGGCACGCTTTTCACGGAGGTCTTCGGCGAACCAACTAGCCCAGCGTTTCCGTGCTATCGCTTCGGAAGGTGGAGGGGGTCTGTCGTGCCGGTGATCTTGCTGTGAGCTCTCGCGTCGAAGAAGTGCACACGTGATGTTATCGTCCTTTCAGTGGTCGTGGGGGGGGATGTAGCGGACGAACAGTAGGAGCAGGAGGCAGGCTGTTCCCTATTCTCGTATAGGCCTCTCGTTCAGGCGGATGAGAGGTAGCAATGACGAGGTACGGGGATGATCCAGGTCGTGAGAAACAGCAGTTGATTGGGTGGTGTTACTGACATCGGCAGGTGACGTAGTCCAGCCTCGACCAAAACGGTCCTCCGGCATGTTCACATCCGACGGGCTGGTCATGGACGATGTGGTCATCGGACGGGTGGGCGCCACTCGGAGTGCAGTGGCGTGGAGAGAGGGCGGGGAGCTGCTAGCACAACCTAGGAGGGTCGGACTGGCCTAGCGGGGTGGAGGAGTGTTGGCAGAGATAGTTAGGGCCGACTGAACTATACCAACGGAGGGGGAAAGGGAGGTTTGCAGAGCCGGTTTGGGGCGATCTGAACCAACCAGGGGCGACAGGAGGTCGACCGG